TAATAAAACAAGGTCTTTGTCTGCAATGATTAGACATGTTTTTTTATTATTGTCATTAGTGATTGTCTCAATTTCGGCTAAAAGAATTGACAAAATCCTACACACTGTGCCTTTAATGCTTTACCCATGAATGTTAATTACTTCCCAAACCAATGAACTCATTGTTTATTCATGCATTTTATTCATTAACTCATGAAGGGACTATTACATTTACTGATGTAAATGCTCATATAAATGTACTTTTAGGCATATATAAATAATGTTAATTTTGGAAGTGATTGGTCTTCATAGGCAAAACATTAAAAATGTAATTTACAGCAAATCATTCTTGATGATTTCCATGTTAACCATAATGATTAAGGCCAAATAAGGTAGCTAAGCTAAGGTAGCTCTTTTTCAAGTAATCATTCCTGATATTCACCTTATGTTCCTTTCACACCATCCTCTCTTTAAAACTGCCTGGGCTTACGTTTTTTTTTTTTTTTGTCACATCCACAGATGTTTAGTTATATTACAAAAGGAAGTATTTGCCGTGCTGCTGCACCTACGCACATCTGCACCCAGCTCTGCCTGCTTCGTCACACAGAGTTTTTTCTTTTTCTTTTTTTTTTTTTCTTATCAGCCTCCATCACAGGCAGGACCCCGGCGGTGGATGAATGCATGCATCCTGTGACATATCCGGTTCTGTTCTTTTTTTAGCTCTGAGCTGTCACAGCAGCACGTCACTGCGACTGCCTGGCCTCTGCTCTCTGCATCTTAATCACGCCGCCTCCTATATGCCTCCACCTCCTCTGTCTGCACACGGTTGGGCCTGCATGGGAAATCATGGCTGAAAACATTTTTTTGCCTTTCTTTTCTAGCTATATGCTGTTTGTTACAAAGGGGTCTTGTGCAGCAAATGATTAGAAGTCATTTTTATCCTTAAGTCAAGTCAAGTCAATTTTTATTTATATAGCACATTTACAACAACCTCAGTTGACCAAAGTGCTTCATAGCAATCACATCACATTTAGCTAAGGATAAAACAACACATGCACACGCACGCACATAAAATTGCAATAAAACTGAAATTTGTTAAAAAATAAAAACAATAAGGCCATAAGATACCAAAATCCTTAGACTTTTAGTGTCATATTGCTTTCTTATTGCAAGAAAATACTCTAAACCTACATAGACATACACTTTTCTGAGAACGTCCTCCAATAGTCTTCATAAAACATGGTTAAAACACAAGGCAGAGCACTGTTTTGTTGTGAAAATTAGTGCTGGGCGGTATGGCCAAAATTTTACATCACGGTATTTTCAACGTTTACACCGGTTTCACGGTATATCACGGTATTTTTCTTTTCATCACAGGTCAGCTGATAATAAAATGTTCAAACACTGCTTATTGACTTATTTTCTTTTACTGTACCTCTGTCTGTGTCGCTGTTTCCCTCCTCTAAACGTCTTTTCTCTGACTGGTGGTTGGAGACTGTAATCACGCATTTTGGTCCAGTCGTGAAGGAGGAGGGTTACGAAAAGTTTATGATCGGGTTTATTGTTTTATGTTATTTATTAAAGCTTATCAGCACGACTCACCTTGCACACCAGTCAATTGCAATTCTACTACAAACTACTTCCCGCAGGCTTTTCACAATAGAACCACGTTAAGTCTCCATCAGCATAACGTCTCCATATTAACTAACCATGTGAAATCTAACTGTGCACGTCACTGAAGAGGTGTTTACTACATTCAGCGACGGCGAAAACAGGATATTTTTTAACGTCAGTCAATATAAGCAGCAGACTCGCCACCCGCTGCAACAAATTGCTCAACAATAACATTAGCATGCTAATGCACATAGCGGTGCTGCGAGGAAAAGTGTACCCCAGGAAACAGTTCACTGGTGGCCGCGACAAAACGGTCTGCACGTTTTCAGGCTATTTAAACAGGAATGTCCGGTATTCAGAAAATTCATATCATGACAAAAATAAAAACCGGTATTCGGTACAAAACGGTATACCGCCCAGCACTAATGAAAATCCAATAACAGTTTGAATCTTTTCATCAACCATAAGTCGATTCTGACTACATGCTACCAAATATACCTTATGTTCCTGAGATGAAGAACTGGACATCCTGGTGACAGAAACACCCATCAGACACAGTTTGTTTTTCTGAAGCACACTGAAATAAATAAGTAATTACATCACATCTTTCTTTCGCTCTCAGAGGGAGACTTTCACATGTGGCTCCATCAGAACCTCTTTTTTTTTTTTAGCCTGCAGAAGATGCTGGTAAAAAACCCAGAGGGGCTGTTACCATAAATCTAAATTTGTAACTGTTTGATTGGTGCTTATGTGCTGTTCAAGGACACAGAGTATTCATATGTAGAACAGAATGTACCGCCTGTGTTGTACCTGACTGTAAATCTCTTGGAGCTGTGAGGACAGCAGCTCCGGATCTCCTCCGGCCGAGTGGTTAAATCAAAATCGATTAGAACCCTGCGGCAGATCGATGGAAGTGGGACTCATCTGAAGGTCCTGGAAGACAACTTACTGCTTAAACGAAGCAGTGCTCATGATTTGGATTGTTTCATGTCACAACACGTTGTGATGTAAACATGAGGGGGAGTATGACTAAAGAGCCCGTGACTCTGAAAGGACTCAGCTACTCTGCAGAAAGAAAGAAAGAAAATCTATGACTCCTTCCTGTGGCAGAAATGCTCATGAGTAATTGAGTGTCAAGCACAAGACCTCACAGTGTTCTTGCAGTTTGACTAATTTCACCCACGTTTGTGGCCATACAGTAACTTTAAACCAAACATGCTGCTGGTATGACATACAGTCCTTGCTTTATAGACTAATAAATGTCACTGCATTCTGAAATCCTACTATTTACTGCCGTGTAAAGGACAACTGGAATACCCCCCCCCCCACACACACACACACACACACACACACACACACCACATATGGTTTGATTGACCCAGATCCTGTGCAGCTGGCAGATCAGAGTCACTGTGAGTGTGAGTGTATGTGTGGTATTGGGGGGGGGCAACAAAACCTGCTGACATTTGTGAAAACAACATACGCAAATGTAAAGTCCCATTAAAATATAGATTATTGTTGGGTGGGAAGGTTTTTTATTTGTTTTAACAGGTTAGCTCAACTTCAGAGTTGCAGGAAAAAAATAAAAGTTTTTCAAAAGATCAGGAGGAGAATGACTGCTTTTGGTTAAATGAGTGTTTTTGTTTTGTTTTTTCTAATTATTATTATTTAGATGTTGTGTCTCTTTATCTGTATAATCATCCAAAAGAAATTTTTACTTTATTGATTAATCTCTCACATCTTCTTCATTGTTAACTCATTAGTAGACATCCCATTTGGTTCCATAATATATACTCCCATAGCCCTGTAACTTCTCAACAAGTACCTGTACGACCCTGCATTTACTCTGAAAGGATCCCCTTATTGCTTGTAATTAACCTGTAAGTATCCCTTTGAGTACCATGTAAGAACCCTGTAATTAGTCAGTAAGTACCCTATGTTTATTTCCATCAATACTCTGTAAGCCCCATAAGTAGTTTGTAATTACTCTAAGTACCCTTATGAGTACTATGTAAGAACCCTGTAATTACCCTGTAAGGACCTTGTATTTATCATCACAAATGTAAGAATCCCCATAAGTAATTTGTAACTAGGAAGTACCTGAATGACCATTTCTTACCAATCATTGGTCCATGGTACCCTGTAATAACCCTATTTGTGATTCAACTTTCTCATATAAGATAAAGAAAATTTACCGAGGCCTTTCAGGTTTAAACTTTCAACCAAATGTATAAATTTATACCAACAATCTTGTCAAATTCTGCCTTTAGATTCTGTTTCATAACAGTTTATACTTTGCGCCACGGTTTTCACTTCCTGGTTTCTCCAGCAGGAACTTTGTCAGCTGTTGACAGCAAAACACATTTCTCATCATCTGTTATTCTTTTTTCGTTTGTTGTAGTGAGGTCAAAGTTTGGCAGTTCATAAACTGAAACTGAAATGTTGGATTAAATAATAAAACATGCTGTAAAACTCAAATCAGTGGATCAGTCTGAGGGGGAATTCCTTGTGATTATCTTTGTTCTTTCGGTGCTGTTTGTGAAAAGTAAAGTGAGATATAATATTTACTGAGACTAACGCAAGAATGATAATGACCTGAGAAACAAGATGAACCAGATCCAGCTCATTGCCTGCCAGGAGTTTCAGGGTGTAAACTTCTTCTTCATCAGCTTTAACCAGCAGGAAGTGAAGCAGCCCACAGGCTATAAACACCACCTGCTTCTAGCTGCATGTTTTTTTGGCCCCGGCTCCTGCTGGGCTGTTGCACAACTTTTCTAATATCTCCTGGATAAATCAGTATCGGGTTATAGGAAGGATGTGATTCAGCATTCTGTCCTAATCCCCAGGAAATGGTGTGGTCTGTGTGTGTGTGTGTGTGTGTGTGTGTGTGTGTGTGTGTGTGTG